GTTGGTGATATTTGCCTGTCAGGAAAAATGTGCTTACAACAGTATTTTGTGCCCTATAAACAAATCCAAGAAATTGGGCAGGGTTGTTATTATTATCTTAAATTATTAAACTTTAAACACACCAAATTGTCACTAGGTGTGATACACACCACACACACACACACACACACACACGCACACACGCACAGCTCAAAAAAATAAAGGGAACACTGAAACAGCGCAATTAAATTCAAAGTGTTTCCCTTTATTTTTTTGAGCAGTATATACATATATACATCACCAATTGCCCACATTACATGCAGCAGTGTTGACATACCAGTTCTTTTCAGTGAGGATGGTGTGTGACAGCTGACACCGGGGCATGGCCAGTATTTGGCTGCGCAGCTTGGAGATCATGGTGGAGAAGGAAGGGTGTCCCTTGTAACCCGGGAGCAAGGAGAAGAGGGGATACGTCATTGTGGATCCTAAACAAAGTACACCGGTGAGTTCAACGCACAAAAAGCTGAGTTTTTAAAGTTGACGGCTTTTGTCTGTCTGACCGGCTTTAGTGAGATTATCCTCGCTGTCAATGTCCTGCATGGGGAGCAGGAACATGTTGACTTCAGTTGTCATATAGTTCTGGCCAAGACCAGGGAAAATATTGCAGTCCAGCATGGACACTGAACCTAAAAACATACCATTACGTGAATCTTCATGTGTCATTTGTTTGGTAATGCAGTGGAAACTCTTTATGTTGAATCTGCAAAATCTTTTGTAAATCTTGCAAAACCTTTAAGTAATTCGGGCATGCATTTTGCTTTCATTCCACTTTAATAGTACTAACAATAAGGGCAGCTTTAACAGGGCACGGTAATGTGAAATGAGAAGAACAACAGACCTTTGTATTTGAGGTGAGAGTGGGCCATTAATTTGTCCACCACCATATGCATGTCTTTCAGATTCCTTGGGCAGAAGTCCTCACGCCTGCTCTTATTCTGGAGGAAAACTGGAAGCAGGAGAGGAGTTTATTATGATCATTATTATTATTTTTATTACTACAAGTCATTAAAAAGGTTGGTGGATGAGTGAGAGAAGAAGTCCCACCTATGTGCGGATAGTACTCTGCGCCGTCCTCACTACCAGACGAGCCCGTACTGTCGTGGCTTGCAGACGGCGTGGAAGGTTTCAGCATTTCAGCCGTTTGAAGAAACCTAACACCCCCCCCCAAGCCCCCCGAAAAAAAAAAAATCATCACTGTATGCTTAGATTTTTACCAGTGGTGAAAAATCTGTGCCAGGCCTTCCCTGCTGGCATAAAAACTACCCAACATTGTATTCATTTTGTGGCATTTCCTTGGGCTGCACTGCTTCAAATACGCGTCATATTCATATAGCACCTTTTGTCCGAACAGACTGCAGCCTCTGCGTGATATCACCCTTCAGAATCAGGATTGCTGGCCGATGTAACGTAACTAAATTATATTAGCATTGGGACTGTTTCTTTAACTGTTCAGAGATCAAATTCGGCTGACACAATAGTTACGTGATAGTGTTAGTTATCGCAGATAGTCAGCCGATTGAGGCAGTCCTCACTGAAGGCGAGGCATATTTTCTGATTTTTAGCACTCAAGTTCAAGCTTCAACCAGCTTGTTGTTGCTTGACTCATGCTTCAATAAGACACAATCAAGTAAAACACTCAACATAATCTCCCACCACGTAAATCCTTTTCTGGACAATCGAGGCAACTGACTGATCGCACCAGTCTGTAGATGCAGTGCAAATTGTTCTCAACAAGCTTGGATTTGTCCACGTGTGTCTTCCTTGAGACCAACGGTGAGAACGACATTACTGATCTTATGAAAGAGCAGAAGACAAATATCCTCTCACGATATAAGAAGAAATGCCCAACATTCCTGAGGGAGGACCGGGTAAGGTTTTTGTTATTGTCTCCCTGTGTCACTATCCAGTTTATTTTCATTTTCAACGCCGAGAGGTCTTAAATCAACAAGTACCCACCTGTAGAGGTTTAAGTCAGTGAACCAATCTTGAACCACAATGACCACATGGCACACTGTAAACAGGAAGGAGGCAATCTGAAGAGACTGTACAGAGGTTAACGGGCGGAAGTTAATTCAGAACTGCCTCATTGTCTCCAGGTACAGACAATATTTTTAGCACAGGGCGGCCTCTAACCTGCATCTCTACATAGGTGTAAGGGAGATTGTATTCCGGGGGCAACTTGCGATCATTGTTGATGAGGTGGTCCAGAATAGAGGGGCTGAGCATTGGCTGGGTGGAACAAAACACACTTTTTCAATGCCTGTCACACCAAAATGGCTCAGAAGTTGACATCAATAATATGAGGAAAAATTGAACGCACGCACAACATGAGATGTGTTTCCACCACTTCCCACCTCATGTCAGAGTTATGGGAATGTCTTTTTTTTTTTTTTTAATCGAAATTTTTAATATTCTCTGTAAGGATGAGCGATGAATCAATTTTATTGATTAACTTTAGTTTGTTACTCAGGGCTCTTTCATTGTCTTTTATTTGAAGTGAATTTCTTCTGTATTTCAAATTGTGAGGTAAAAAAAAATATCTGACATTCTATTTCACAGACAAGTCACACAAATTTGTTTTTACACTTAAATGATAGCTATTAAAATGGTTAAAAAGCAACACGGTCACATCAAAAGCCGAGTCATTGTATTCGATTTTGTGGTGTTTGATTACAGAGCTGGTAACTTTGTTTCACACTCCAAAGTTCCACTGTACTTCCATTATTTTGAATCCCCACCTGGGTGTCCAAGAAGATGATCCTCTCCTGCGTGATGAAGAAGTCAATTCCTGTGCTCTGGTTTCCACCTCGCTCCTTCATCTCTTGAGTCTGCGTTCTGAATGCGTAACCCCTGTGCACACCAACGACCAGGTTCTTCTCAAACATTCATGTTCTTTCGATGAGCTTCACATCCACTGAAAATATTTTGAGGGTGTAAAACCTAAAAAAAACATCATCCATGCATTTTCTATAGCCCTTGTCCTCATTAGTGGATCCCAGCTGACTTTGTGCTACCGGCAGTGTACACCACCTACTGTTCAGCAGTCACATGCGGGGAATAACAAATGACCACTCACATTCACACCTTAGGACAATAGGTCTTCATTTAAACAAAATAAGAAGCATATTTTTGAAATGTCAGAGGAAGCCGACTTTGACTCCCCAAGAAAGAGCAGGTCCCTAAAATTTGGACACAATAGATGGCCGTATAGACTCTTAATTCATGTCAATCTTGCAAAGCGCATCAACCTAACATCACAAATTTTGGAAATCATATCAGATAGATCAAAATACTGTTGAAAATGTGCATTTTTGCCTACGTATCCAGACTTCAGGGTCACCCTGAACAAATCATTGCAAATTTTTGACCAATTGCAAATGTGCATGTTGTAATTGTTTTTGGGGGATTTTTTTTTTTAACCGCAAACTACATTGCCAACATCTCGCCTTCTTTCTCTCTCCTTTACACTTGAATGACCATTGAAGGGTGCTGCGTGGGAACATGTTTAATCCAGTGGTGGTATGATGAGGGCAGTTTGAAACCGTTGCGCCACCGTTTTCGCCTGGGAAAGTAGCTGGATTCCTTTGTATACATTTTAGGAGACTCACGCCCAGTAACACAAGCATGCAGGTTTCAAATGTTGCATGAATGCACTAATATAAAAAGGAGCTCTTGGTGTGTACTGGACAAGAGCAGGTAGGTTTAACCACAACGCCAGCGTGTGTTGTAAGAGTGCGCCATCATTCCAAAAGTGGAACGGAGGCATAGATAAATTTAAGAAAAAGATACAAGAATTTCCAGTTTTCTGACATTCTCCCTCAATATACAAAAAGGATTATTCATTACTGCCCACTTAACATTCAATCAAATTCTAGTTGAAAATGTATTTATTATACATGGTAAACACAGGGCTATCAACAAACAGATCACATATATGCTTGTTGCTTTTCTTTACCTTTGGTCTTCTTCAGGGGTGTTGGCTGACAGCAAAGACATGACAGTTGATTTCCCAGTTCCCTGCAGGCCAATGACTCCCACCACCAGCATATCAGTTTGGTCCCGCAGGTACTGCACATCATAATACAACATATAAATTCCTGAATGCTTGGGCATGAAAGGAAAGTCTATGTGCTGATGATTTCACCTCCATGGCACTGTCACACCAGTTCAACTGCTCATCCACCAGCTTGATGCTGTGCTTCATCTTCTCTGGCGGGATGAGTTTAGATTGGCCGACCAAGGCTGCAATCAGATCATTATATTTTGAATTAATCTGTGAATCTTCTCTGCGCTTTTAAAATGGAAATCAATGGTAACTCACGATCCACAGCGCTGCTTGTTGCAGAGGCACCCATTCCTCGGTTCTGGATCTGGTAGACGGGCTGGGTGGGTCGTTGGCCTTCCCTCTCCACTTTGGAGGGCCCGGCACCGGTAGACTGAGATGTCGCTTCTGGAGGAGTGGTCGGTTTCACCGTGTCGTCCCGAGCCTTCATGAGCATGATCGGCTTGTCAAGAACTGGAGCAGCGCTGACAACCGTACTCTGTAATGGCTTGGCCTTCAAAAATGTCCAAAAAGGAAACAAATCAGTGAAAAGATGAAAGATAAGTGTATTTCTAGCACTGACCATTTCAAACGCGATCTTGTTTGACATAAACATTGAGAGGTTATGAATGTCACGCAACAGACTAATTTGTGCAGTGGCGTAGGGATAAGTCGCCACAAGAAGGCTTGCTAAATTGTGATTATAACAATTCCAAATCTCATTTTTATCCATTCACGAATTGCATCACCAATTTAGATGATCCAAATGCATCTTTTGCAGTCAACATCCATCAATACATTTAACAGGAAGGTTAATTGGACCTTCTGCCATCTATTGAAAGAGTGAAGAGTGGTTCTGCCTATCACTAAACAACGTTCTTGTAAATAGATGAAATCGATACTGCATATGAAATGTCATCATCAAAAATTCTTTTTGGACTACTTAAGTGTAATTGAATAATCTCCCGCAGCACCAGATGACCTCAGACAGCAAAGTGGTTGGGAATTACTAATGGTATAGGTTAGTGTACAGGTAGTTGTTTGATAAAGAGGTTCATTTGTGAATAAATAGAATACCCTCTCCCCGGGGGGCTTTGCCAGAATGATGGGAGTCTTCTGGATCAGAGGACCTTGTGGTTCCTCACTTCCGTCCTGAAAACAACAACAACCAAATGAGTCACACGGAGGACGTCTGAATAACTGGTGTTACCGTTAAGCGTTACCCTTCGTTCCCGCGGTTGGTATTCTCGATCCCGACTGGGACCGGACAGGTTCTGGCCTGGAGGTCCAATGTCCCGCTCACCACGACGTCGCCTTCTCCTACGCCCCGGTCCATATATGCCAGGCTGACTGTGGCCTGATTCTGACATGTTTGCCACACACTGACTGGTAATCAATTCAGTAAGCAGTTACTCGTAATAAGCAATTTCCCAGACAGCTAGCTAGCGCCACCTAATTTACACCTAGAAGCGAGATCAAGACAACTTTCTGTGTCCCTTATATGTATCTACAATAATAAACGTAGTCTCGCCAAACATATGAATAACCAAAACTCTTGCGAAAGATTTTATGATGACATAAAAAAAGCATTTCCAAACAATAAACATAAAGGCACGCTTAGTATTTGTGACACTCCGATTAATTTAAACGTTAACCGTTTTCGGGCTAAAATGTCCTTTAGTAGCTTTCACGATGAAGCGCCACTGGAGTTACACATCAAGCGTACATGTGTCTACTAAATGTTGACGTTGTGAAACATATTGGAACATCAGTTGTTCCGACATCATCGATCATTGCTTATTTTAACGTATTGAAGGAACTTGAATCACATATTATATGAACAACAGGAATATAATTTTGTTTTATTGAAATTTTTTATGCGTATGTTTTTTTATGGTTAAATTCCTTTTGATAACTTCACGTAAAACAACTCGTTCGTTTGTAAATTTGGACCGCCGCGGTGCATTCTGGGAATGGGAAACGACTGGGTTATTCTTCCGGTTTGAAGAGCGGCGTCCATCGTCAACATCGCAGTGTCTTCAAATGTATCAACGTAAGGGGTTTTCTTTCTTTCATAATATGGCTCAGCGTCTTAGAAGCACGCCCAGTTGATATTTGCTTTGCCCTGGACACAAACCTACATAGGCGCCCTTTTACTCCTGACTGTAAATCCCCCGATACAAGTCATTTAGCTAACTGTGAGTTAATTTACAATTAGAATGGAATCATTCGAATCAACCAACAGCTTTGTATTCAGGAGGGTTTTATGTTAGCTGTTAATTATATTTCACCATGTTACAAATTAGCGTGTCACGTTTTAAGTCTTGGTTGTGCTAATTTATCAGTTAGAATACCAATGAAACTGCGCAGAACTACCTGACCGTCTGTTTATTTACAGGTGAAGCTTTAGTTGTCAAAATTAAGGCTTATTATCATAATATCAATAAAGACCTTCTTTATTTAATTCCAGACATGTACAAGAATCACATAATCCAAAATTGTAAACAATACAAGTGCACACCTATGAATGCACCCCCTCACATACAGTGTGTGCTATTCAACATGATCTTTGCTGTCAATTTCAGCCTGAAATCTTGAATGCATAGACATCCCCAGATGCTGGATTCTTCCAGGCATCGACTGCAACTGTTTTCAGTTCCTGCTAAATGAAATTAATCAGGCTGCTTTTTGTCAGCAGTCACATCATCTAGAAATACAAGGGTCCCGTTTTACCATTTTCGTTGGCAAATCTTGGAATAATTCCTAATTGGCGTTTGAAATCAAGCGTTTCCACTGTTGCATCTGTCATGACAGTTGAAAAATGTTAACACGATGCTTTGCTTTCAGACTTTTCATAGGTCGCTTATCTGAGGGCCCGAGCTGTGATGAATGTCACACAATGAGGTCACACAAGCACAGGAGGATTCCCGTCGGTGGCAAGCGAAATGGTGAGAGTGCGGTCAATGTTTGTGCAGAATGAGCAGCTTGATGTCCCACTACACCAGCCACAACATTACAGCCACCTGCCACATCTGCAACATCACCTTCCGACATTTGTCAACGCTGTCCTTACACTTGGACAATGCACACTGTCCGCCGGTGTGCTGGAAGTGCTCTCAGTCTTTTAGTAACGTGTGGGAGCTTAACAAACATGCGGAAGAGCACTGCTCGGGCTCAATGGACGAAAGGAGTGACCTAGCGTCAGACATGGAGCCAGCGACGAGCCTGGAGAAGTCTGGAAACTGCGCAGACTACAAACCGGGAAGACCCCTCGACTCTGATGACGTGAGCACAGATGAGTCAACAAGCAGTGCCACTGGTGATGATATTGACTTTGATTTCAAAGCAGCTCAAGGTGATCTCAGTGATGCAGAATCAGATGAGGACACAAACTCGAGCTCGACGGAGTCCGCTGATTTTGCAGACCATGCCAGTAGAGGCAAGTCCAGCCTCCCTGCTATCAAGGACTCCATTTGCAAAGAATGTGGCCGAGGCCCCTTCAGGTCCATTAAGCTGCATCTGCGTCACTGCACCAGCCTGTTGGGCAAAACATTTCAATGCTTTCGCTGCGAGATGTTCTTTCCTAACGAGGCGGCTCTCAAGGAGCACCGCACTTTCTTGTACTCATGTGACGTCTGCGGCCAGGTGTTCAGTAACTGGGACGCGCACCATCAGCACCAGCCTCCCAACCGAGGCCGCTTGTGCTTGATCTGCTTCTGCTCTGAATCCATGCCCAAAGCGTGTGCCATATGCAAATCCTTCTTTGTCAATGAAAAGTTCTTGTTGGCCCATGTCACCAGAGTTCACACGTCGGTGGTCAGCACCAAGTTGTGCATCATCAACAAACCGTTGGGCTTGACGGACAATGAGGTGTCGATGAATGTGGTCACAAAGACGACTCCCAAGGTCGTCGTCAACACCAAACACATCATTGGACATGGACAGCTCCCTGCGGACCACACATATTCTTTTTCTGATGAGGTTGAGACAAGCCACCCTGACCCATCATGCTCAGCTCCACTACCCACAATTCTGGCCTTGTTGGAAAATCAAAGCCAGGAGTTGGCCTCGACAAAGCGCACAAACACTCGCCGGTGTTCCAGGATGCTGCGCACCTGCCGACAGTGCGGCACCATCCTTCGGCAGCCCTATCTAGCCATTAGCCATCGCTACCTCCACCGAGGGAGCCGCTCGCACCGGTGCCAGTGCGGCCGGGCCTTCAAGCACCGGCTGCACCTCCTGCGGCACTGTGTGCAGCATGCCGAGGCCAAGAATTATATCTGCGTCAACTGCGGCAACACCTTCACCGGAGCTAGACTCTTAGCCGAGCACTTGAAGGGAAAGACATGGAAAAAGAAACAATGCCGGGGAAGGTGCAGGATGCCCCTTGCATGCAGCTGTGGGCATTTCTTTTATCGGGCATCTGCCTACATATGGCATCAGATTAAAAACAATGTGAAAACCAGACATTTTGAAAACATCTGTAAATGACAATCTCTAATACAAAAGTGTTGATGAATAAAAGGATGTCTTACACGTGATTTCAATCACACTGTTCATTAAAATGCTTATTTATGATGAAACTCGTGTCAACATCCCACACCGCTTTCATTTCCAAGCATATCCAGAGCAGTTTTAACGACGTGCAAATTCCAATTTATTTTGACAACAGCAGAATACAAGAAACGTCACTGATTTCAGCAATATACACATACAAAAAAAGAAAATCTCCAGTTTATCCTCCCCATTGAGATAGTTTGTCCAGTCATGTGAGGTTTTCTAACAAAGTGCTTCCTTTCCAATGAGGAATGTGTTTTGGGATTGATTGTTTGAATGGAAGATGTACAGTGAAACCCTACTATTGGTGTGGGTATGCGAATCCAACCTTGCCATGAATAGAGAAAATTGCAAGAAATTGACGCCCACAAAATGAGGTTAAGTGTATTGATACCCACATGATGGTAGCAAAGTATGTTTTAGGAGCAATTATTTATCAATTGACAACTTCTCAAATATCAAATTAATCAACAACTATTTTGATCGTCGATTCATGGTTAAGAGATCTTGTTTAAATTATCCAAATCATCGGAATCTCAGCCTCTTAAATATCGTGTCTAGTGCGAAACAAAAACTTTGATTAAGCTCCCAACCTCAGAGGGATTGAGGAATCAACTATTTAATTTATTTTTGGAGAAACTACGAAGCATTTTGGAACCAGTATTGTGTTTGTTTTGGCATGTTTCATGGGGGATTGCCTCGTCAACGTAAGCTTTCACATGCTAAAATTACATTCTCAAATTTTAACAGGAAACAGCGACACATTCACAATTGGATCAGAATGCTTGCCGAGCGGCCGATAAATAAGCGGGTGTCACCATGGAGATGATCTTGGGAAAAAAAATGCTCTCGGGTGATTGGGGCATCGTTCTGGTCCACTGGCCCGCTAAATTTCAACGGAGTCAACTTGAAGAGACATGGCAACACCGACATATAAGCAACTACCAATCAGAGGAAAGCATATTTAGATAATAATGAAAAAAATGTGAATTTGAAAATGTTAAGAGTGAATATGCGGGGGTTCACTGTACGTCATATGTTGTGTGGTTCAATTTTCCTGTGTTGCGATAATTTGTGGGTTTTAATGAACTGTCAATGATATTTTCATTCCGACTATACGCAACCTACTCAATGTCCGCTAGGTGGAGTAGTTAGGCCACTGAAGAGCAGCCAGCTTGCACCCTGTTATCAATGTCCCCACAAAAACTAGGTCTGCATCCCACAATGAAGATCTTTCATTTGACACGAACACGACAAGATTTTAAACAATTTCAAATAAAGGTGTCTTCGTCTGCAACATTGCGTTTTTGTTAAGCTGTGTTGAAACATGATCTCTGCAAAGCTTTCATGAAACTGGACACTACCACCAATGAGTTTAAAATAAATAAGGCACTGATGAGTCCAATCAAAAAAGCCCTTAAAAATGGCGTATTATAATAATAATAATAAAAATAACAATAATACAGAGCAAGTCTTGAAGCTTGACAGTGTACATTTGAAAGCTCTCGATGAGTCCTTCCACAGTCGTGATTGGTGACGGATACCCGAAACTGGGCCCGAAGATAACCTCTTGCCACTCCTCCAAAATGTTGGAAGCATGTAGAAGTAGCTGTGCACAGGTGGAGATGTTCACCGCCTCCCTTTTGTAGGCATTGTCGGACAAAAAGTTATTTTCTGAAGTGAGGGCAGTGGCCGTGTCACCTGCAAAAGAAACACATGATGACGGTGCCATAGACAGACCAACCAAAGCACATGGTCGATGTGTTCTCACTCTTTAAACAATGGTGATTGTCTTAATTTTCTTATTTTCTTCATCCTCTATGAAAACGGACAAACATTTCGGCATTTTTCCGTGTCACTCACAGTAGTTGTGAAAGTCTTCTTCATTTGCGTCTTTATGACTGCTTTATACTGCCCATTTACTGTACATTTTGTTTTTGTATAGTATTGACAATTACGACACAATAGTGGTATTATTAAATCAGGTAATCCCCACTGAAGGCCCCAGGGATCAAATGTATTGCCCGCCATTGCATTATGATACCCCTCCTCGGCCATCTTGTGCCATGTTGCTGATCTGCACAGCATCAGCCGCGAGTGTTGTGAACTTTGTTTACCTGATCTCCTGGTTGCGGTGACGTAAGACCTGAGACAGCAGCTTTGAGGTTTCTTGGAAGGAGCGACTCAGCTCTTCGAGTTTCTGCTCCATGGACAGGATCCGTTGCTCCAGCTCCCGATACGAGTTATTCCAATTGGCGCTGAGATCACACATGATCATCTGCATCTGGTCATGCAAATGCAAAGGTTTAAGTCTGGATTTGGTTTCCAACCAATACATTAATTTAAAACACACACATACTTTTGCAGTGGTCAATATTTCGGTCCGAAATCCTACAAGGCTGTTGCTGGAGGAAGGATGACTTACATGCTCCACTAAATAAAAGCTAATCACGAAAAGTAAGCAATGAAAATGTGCATCTGTAAGGAAAAAAGGCCAGTTTTCCGTATAAACCAGTCGCATCAGTACTTCTTCTCGGAAAACCCTCCGTATCCTGAGTTTATTCTACTTGAAAAATTTCTTTCTTCTTTAACCCTTTCATGCACCAATAATAACCTGTAACCTGATAACATGAAAGGGTTAAATGGCCGGCTTCCCATCCGACATTTCTAATAAACATTTGAATTAGTGTTTGATCATCTGTTGAATGACTTAAATATTACATTGGTTGTTTGGGGGGAAGGTCCTGGATTGTTTTTTTTTCCATTCGGCCAGGTGTTAGGTGTTAGCAATGAAAACAAAATATCAATGGTTTACCTTTGGGAGGTCCACCATCTCACTGACGTAATCGCGCAGTTTTCTCTGTTTGAGGCGCAAGTGACGAAATCTGCAGAGGACAAGGTGAAATTTTTCAAACGTCTTTTTTTTTTTTTTTTTTTTAAACATATTTTGTGTCAACGGTATCGAGTAATTTCCTATGTTTACATAATAGAACTGCACATCAGATTTCTTTTCCAACGTATGCCATTCAGAGACAAAGCCAGAGAGTCAGCTATGTGAAGCATTACACTGCCAAAAACAAATATGAATGCCTATTTTGGGATTGTCATTTATGGACAAAAATAACTGCTGACTTGGTAAAATAGGAAAATCATGACTTATGAAATTCTACATAAAGAACACACACACACACACACACACACACACGCACACGCATCCTGCCTGTAGCTGTCGTAACATACACTCTGATGGCCTCCAAAAGACATCTCTGGTGTCTTCGGTGCTCTCCTCGGGTTCCTTTGGTCAGGTTAGCTCTGTGCAGGAGCCAGCACTCGCGAAGCACGTTTGCAGCAGCATGGCGGATCTGAGTGGTGGAAAGATGTATTCTACTAATTTGTCTTATCAATGACTTTTATGGCACAGGAGAAAACGCAAGGTGTCCGTCCATCTTTGTCCTATTCTGACATTGTGCTATAGTTGGATGCAGAATTGCTGGCAAGGTTGCATCTAAAGTCAGAGCAGGTCTTGGTCATTTTTTGCTTGTAACCAGTAATGTTTACAGTGAGGAAAATGATCATACGAGAAAGCATTTCCTCCACATTGGCAGTTCCATACTTCGGTATAAAATAGTCTCTCTGTATGACAGCTTTTCCCCTATTGGTTATGGACGTGGAACGTATGCCACCCTGTGATTAACGTGAGTTTACTGGATCTTGTTCTCCGGTGATGCACAGTACCGTATTTTTCGGATTATACGTCGCTCCGGATTATAAATCGCCCCAGCCAAAAAATGCATAATTAAGAAGGAAAAAACATATATAAGTCGCACTGGAGTCTAAGTCGCATTTTTGGGGGAAATTTATTTGATAAAATCCAACACCAAAAACATACACGTCATCTTGAAAGGCAATTTAAAATAAAAAATAAAATAGAGAACAACAGGCTGAATAAGTGTACGGTATAATAACGTTACATGACTGACATGCCTGGTAATGTCAGTAATGATGTAACATATGAAGAGTTATTCAGATAATTCTAGCATAAAGAACATGCTAACAAGTTTAGCAAACTATCAGTTTCACTCCAAATCACTAAATCCAATGAAATCTTCATCCTCGGTGTCACTTTTAAACAACTTCCCCAACTCAGGAGGTACACGATGCGCCGCTTTCTCTTCTACGTCGCTTACGTCAGACTCATTGTCGATTTATCAATGCAGGTCGAGAGCGCCCTTTTGTGGTTTAATGTGAAAATAACGTGAATGACATAATCATGTGTTAATAATTTCACACATAAATCGCTCCAGAGTATAAGTCGCACCCTCGGCCAAACTATGAAAAAAACTCAGATTTATTGTCCGGAAAATACGGTACATAGAATCCCAACCCTGCAGTGAATAGCAAAAATCTGCGCGTATTGTTTAAATGCCTATAGATGACACAAAATGGCAACAAAGCCCTGCTTTTGTTTAAATTAAGCTCCTCAACTCACTTTACCATAGTTCATTGGTACCAAGATCCCACAAGACTTTGGTCTGAGCACCAAGCAGCCATTAGATACGTTTTTCAGTGAATAACAGTGGATAGGTTAACAAAAAAAAAATCCACCAAAAAAGTGAAGCTGCCAATGCGAAACACAAATATGCAGGAGTTCCCCGTACACAGCAACCAAATAAAAACAGCGCGATCTGCTGGAATTGAAACAAACCTGCCCCCGCTGCTCCTTACGCAACGTTGCCACCTCTTGCATCACATTTTATATCTTTTGTCTTTGATTCTATTCATGCATACTTTGTTTTCCTGCCCAATCACTGTAGCGGCCCAGTGATGATGTCACGCCGGCCCCACTGCGAGGGTTATTAATAGAGGCTGTCAGTGTAAGCATCCAGGTGTCTTCCCTTGTTCCCATCAGTGTAAATCTGGACTCGAAGGATGCACGCACACACACAAGGATCAAAACAATCAGTCATGTGTAAAGATGCACCTTGTGACAGGATGCAGCCACTGGAAGAGAGGAAATGGTTGTATCCTTCAAAACAGCGCACGTAGTTTGCTAAGAAACACCGCGTAAGGCTTCTCACCTCACAAAAGAAATCATTTAAATGAGGCCGAAAAAGCTTCAGGGCAGTATTTCTTGGTTACTCTTTGTTTATTAGACGCCTCCCTTTTTTGGAATCCGAAGCAAACACTGAATAAGTCCTGTTGAGTCCTGCAAATAGAGTAACGCCTCTACAAGACACACAAACACGCACACACTTATGGTCATGTTTGCTTCTCCATCAGCTCTTCCTTGGAAATCCATTTCAGTCATCCCTCACGCCTCACTTTTAGCGGCTTCCTTCGATCACAAAATTATTTATTTATTTATTGGGGGGGGGGCTATTTGTTATGTCGCAGCATTTTGAGATACAGTAAATCCCCCACAATCACTGATTTTAGGTTTGCAGTTTCACTATTTTGTTGATTTTTTTTTTTGGACTGTTATTTTTTGCTGCTGTAAATTGCGAATTTCTCCATTGTGAGACATAAAAGGTTTTCTTATCTTATCTTATAATAATTTGTGTTGTTCAAAATCTCTCACACCTTGGGACAATTTAGAGTGTTCAATCAGCCTGCCATGCATGTTTTTGGAATGTGGGAGGAAACCGGAGTACCCGCTGAAAAGCCACGCGGGCACAGGGACAACATGCAAACTCCACACAGGAAGGCCGGAGCCAGAATTGAAACCTGCACCTGTGCACTGTGAGGCGGACGTGCTAACCAGTCGACTACCGTGCCGCCAAGACTAAATATTAAGTGCCAGAAATGCTATAAAAACATGCTGTGGGAGTAATCCACAATGTTTTGGCAGTGCACTAAGGCATTGTTTTTCTTTGTGTCTTCCTCATCCAATGTGTCTCTATTGTCCAGCAGTGAGGATACATTACGTCTCGTCGGACCCAATACGGGCGTACGTATCTGTGTGTTGAAAATGTTGCCAAAAAAGTGAAATATATTAATACAGAGGCGTATTTTTCAGCTCTTATGCATTTTTCCAAGATAAACTATTTCATTATTAGTGGTCAAACAACCGATGTAAAATTAATGAAGCCTTACTTTAAGCTATTTAACTCAAGTGAACAGTGCTAGCTCATTTAATATAGCTTACCACTGCTAATGAAATGAATTGTAATTTCTTGAGGGTGGTCAAAGATTGACATAGCCGCCGGTACACACAAGCACATATTCCCACATGGCCTGCCGTTTGCTGATGTCAAGTCACTCAACGCAGAGTGGCTCATGGTTTAGCCAGTTAACAGCCAGTCAACTCTGCACTCGCCGAATCCGACGTCCCTTTAACAAGCCAGGCCCCAAGTGGACAAAATAATACCTACATCTCGCATACATATCATAGTGGGTTTGATGCATAAAGCTTTAAAATATACCATAGATGACGAATACAACTAACAAGGTCGCTACTTTGCCGATTCTGTCTATCAGTGGGGTGGTCTGAAATACAACCCCCGCAATCAACAAGGAATTACTGTACAACAGTTATCGCGCCTTGCCTTAACTAAATTTGATTCACAGTATGTGAATGTTTGTTATGCTGTAATTACGTGAACAACAGGAGCCCCTCGTTCATGATTTTCATCCCCACCATATGAAGGCTACCATTCTGTCAACACACACACACACACACACACACACACACACACACAGAGTTTCCTGCCAATCACTGCCGTCGTCCTGAACTGACACAAGTTGCTTTCCGGACTCAAGATGATTTCCTCTGTTTGACGCCTTGAAAAGGCTGTAAAAAGGTTGACCGGGCTAAAAATAAATATGAAAAAAAAAAAAACTACAAACCAAAACATGTGCATGACACATAGAAATTGGTCAAGTTTCCACTTCTCCCACCATGCTGGCCAAAGCATTGAGGTGAACATCAATCATGTATGGCCAAAATAATAGATTTGTAGATACTGTAAATCCAAATATCTTTCCGCTTTATTATTATTGTTTAAAATTCATCCCCTCATTTAGTTGTTTTTAATGGTGTCTCGGTAGGTCGTGTCGCACGACAGAACCTTCGAACAATTAAGCAACCAAATATTAACGTGCACAAGGACAGAATGACTTCATGACTTGCTCAAGCCAAAGTAACATTCTCACATTCTCCCTTGCAGCCCACACAGATGGTCCGTTCAAGCGACAATACAAAATATATTACATAAAACAGGGGTCCCCAACCGCCGGTCCGCGGCCCGGTACCGGTCAGCCGGGCATTTGGTACCGGGACGCACAGAAAGAACTTGCCTTAATTCCGTTTTATTTATTTCGGAATACGAAAGATGTTTTATTTTGAAAAATTACCGGATTCTCCTTTACATCCGTCTGTGTCCAGCTTGACACACGTCAAGCCACGCTTCTCCGTAACGTGACCAATTAGGCTAAAAACAAACACCGGAGCTCGCAAAATGAGTAAAAAAACTGCTGGAGATCGCAAATGACGGCGGCCTTAAAAGTACGTTCGAGAGAACTGGATTAAAGTTATGGCTGAATACTCTGAGATCGCCACAATAGCACTGTTGCTATTTCCGACATCCTACCTGTGTGAGGCGGGGGGATTATGCAGCAACGGCGACGAAAACAAAATGACGAAGTAGACTGGACATAAACCACACACTTGAGGTGTCATTGTCTCTCCTATTACCCCGAGATGGGACCGTCTGGTTGCAGAAAATCAAGCTCGGTGCTGTGGTGAGTCGTCATTTTCATGCACTTTGAATTTGCGTTGTATCGTATTTTGAAGGCATTAAACATTGCCATAGCGATCGGAGTGTTGCGGCGAGATTAGACGCTCCTTGTGTTTATTATGATATTTCGAAAACACCACAGTTTTCATGCAGCTCATACCATATTATTTTGTTGTATTATTTCCGCCACACCTTAAATGCCGGTCCCTGAAAATATTGTCTGACATAAACCGGTCCGTGGGGCAAAAAAGGTTGGGGGCCCCTGACATAAAACACAACTCTATCACCTCACTCGCAAAATATTACAATTACAATTTGTAATTTCCTCATCTTTTATTACTGTTCAGGGTTCACGTAAACTATAACAACCACTCAACAACTCGTTATGACTTCATGACAGCACAACTTTTCATGAGCTAATTAAATCGCATTTTTGGCAAATGGTGTTTTGGAAATATCAGAATGTTATATGTGAAAGTAAATGAATGCCACATGAATTAAGAATGTGTTTTTTGTAGCTCTTACCCCTTTTGAGATCTGGATGTCCAGCATGAAAAAGTGCACATGCTTCTCCCCTTTATTCAATGCCAGCTTCTTGGTTACCACAGCGACCAGCATTGCGGTGCAGGCTACACCCTGAAAACCGACACAAACACATAAAACTGTCCATCACACGCACCAAATGAAATCATCTCTATGAATGTAACACCAACAAATATTGAGACCTTGGCGACATATTCCTCTTGAAGCAAAGAATAGTTAAATAAAATAGGGCAATGTGGCTCCTCATACCTCGTATGGTTTTGTCCTATAAATCAAAGTTCTATTTACACATAGGGTTCAAAAGTTAAACACAAGGCTGTGTGGCACAGCTATATTAGTGCCGGTTTCCTCTGAGAATAGCTGGCTGTCTTTGCTGGGCACAGGACGACAGAATGATGAAGACAGACCTCCAAAACAAAAATACACACACTGTAATACAAACACACACGTCACAGAACACGCACTGAAAACACTGAAGGAACCCCATGACCACCACAAACAAAAACAAAAGCACATTTTACCTTTTTTTTTCTCTTCAGCTTGCATCAAAAAGAGAAGGACAAAGTAAAATGTAAGAAAGCATTCGATTTGAATCACATACACTATTTGGACAAAAGTAACGTGAACAGGACAGTGAGCTATATATTCAGGATTCAGCATTCAGCGATTTATGGATATTTTGTGGGGGACCTTTCCTATGTTAGTTGCTGGAAAAACCCACGTGCGGTTTTATTCTAAGTAAACGGCAATACTGCTTTGGTGCTATCAGGTGGCATCTTGTTGCCAAAGAACTATGTTGATATGAGGCGAAAAGATGCATTTTCACAGAAGTAGTCCTTTGCTGCCATCTTGTGGCATCTATAGGCAATTATAAACCCTTTTGGGTTACTCATTACTCATAGATTTTCACAGTTCGCAGCATGGCTCCGTCCGTCCCAATGCCGTGCAAATAATGGGGGTTCACTGTACCATATTTATTGAACCATAAGGCGCACTTAAGAACCTTTCATTTTCCCCAAAATCGACAGCACACTTTGTAATCCGGTACGTTTTATGCATGGATGTCAGCTTGTCAGTTCAGCGTCTTTTATTAAAATTCCTTCCTATTATGTTCAAATTGTCATTCTCATGCACATCAAATTGCTAGCAGGCATCCATGTTTTCGTCATACCGGACCGAGAGCTACTTCCTGCTTGCATGTCTGAAAATCAAGGGAAATGTAGGCCTACTAGCCTCATGCTGCGGTCAGACCGAATGCGAGCTCAGCGCTTCTGGGGCCGCGCCTCCAATGTTACAATGTGGAACCACAAAGTAAATGACACGGCCGGTTCATTGATATTGCACCTAACAATAAGGGACACCTTATGGTTCGACAAATATTCTTTTCCCCTTAAATGATGCCCTAATTGTATGAGAAAAAGCATAATAGAGGGTGTGACAAATCTTTACTGTCTATGCCAAACAGTTTATTCTGCTGCTGCCATTGACTCCTGTTTAGTGTTTTAAAGTGTTGTGTTGATATTTGGTCCAGAGCACCAGGAGAGTGTGGAAGAACCATACACAGCGACAGCATCCTACTGGTCACACACTGCATTTTGAATCTCGGCTACGCCGTCTCCTTGTGGAGTTATTCATGTTTTCGACAGGCTTGTGTGGGGTTTCTCCAGGTGCTGCAGATCCTGCAACATTTTCAAATTTAAGCTCTGTATCAGATCTGTCCAAATTCCTATCTAGCTTGTTTTCTGTTTGAATGCCTAAGCAATGTGTCCCAATACTTTTGTCCATATAGTGTACACCGGTTAGCCACATGGAATCGCATCCACATAGGCAAACTGTCATGACCTATTTTTGCTGACGTAGTTTTGATAGGTTTTTAGTTTTATCATGTCTGAGGTGGCACGGCGTTCGACTGGTTAGCACGTTCGCGTCCCACTGCAGTGCAGAGGTGCAAGGTTCGATTCTGGCCTTCCTGTGCCTGCGTGGGTTTTCTCCGGGTACTCCGGTTTCCTCCCACATTCCAAAAACATGGATGGCAGGCTGATTGAACACTCTAATTGTCCCGAGGTGTGAGTGTGAGCGCGGTTGCTTGTTTGTCTCTGTGTGTCCTGCGATTGGCTGGCAACCGGTTCAGGGTGTACCCTGCCTCCTGCCTCAAAACAGCAGAGATAGATTCCAGCACGGCCGCGACAGTCTTCAGGATAAACGGATTAGAAAATGGATGAATGGCCCTTTTCATGTCTTATCTGTCTCGTTATGTTTTTGTGTCCACCAGTCTGTCCCTTGTGTTCAACCAATCAGCTCCCTCAGCCACTTGTATCTTGTCCAGGTGTTCTTCATTGTCTCACCAATTTGATTGGATTTATGCTGCATTCGAGGAAGCTGGGAAGTCTGAAACGTCCTATTTGGATTGTCCCAGTTATGACCTCAAAATGTTCACAGTGAATGTAAACAACAAACATGTCTGATTCCGATAAATTTGTTGTTGTTCTGGTTCATCATAACACTTTTTGACCTCCAGCAAACCTTCTTCATAATTTCCTTAATTTACATTAACAAAGGAATATATTATCTTCAAAGCATTTCATTCTTTTCACCAAATACCTTTATGCAGGGAGATAACGCTGTAGTGCGCTTTTCCTGGTAGGAGCTCAGAATTCCTACGTTCATTGAATGCAGCAATAGTTCTGTGATTTCTTTCTGTCTTTGTAGGAGCATTGCTTTTGCTTATGTTGGTGTCCCCTGTGATATTTGTAAGTCCATTCCCTGTTTTGATTAGGGTTTACATTTTTTTTCACTCATTTAGTATCTTTTCATTTTAGATGCTTTGTTTGCCCTAATTTTATTTTTGGAAAATAAAATCCCTTTTGTTTTGAGTACATCCTGCATTTGGGTCCACCTTTTTGCCACCCCCACGAAAACCCTCAACTCACAACACATCGCTGTTGTCTGAATGATGTCCGAGGTAGCGCATCTTAAGCAACGTCCGCTTGCCACCATCTTTCAGGTGCGCCAGCAATTGGGTGGTGTCTGACTGCCACCATCGCTCCGCTGGGAAATGGAAATTTATCTTTTCCGAGTGGTGGGCACAGGTTGGCACACCCTCGTTGTAGTACTGCCAAAGGCTATAAAAAGACCCTAAAAATGGATAGGATGGAAAGCTTTGCCTTATAAGGGGAGCTTATAAAAAGCTGATGGAGAAATAGAAATGATGGTTTTCCATTCTCATTCCCACATCAGCAGAGATACTCACCACTCATCTACTTTCACATATACACTGCGAACAGACTAAATGCCAGTCTTCACTCACTGTTGCTATTGGTCCACTTGTTATACTCGGACACCCACTCCCCCTTTCAACAGCACGCGGACATGCCCTTTTTATCCTGCCCTTTTACAATGCAATTCAGTCAAACAATGTCTTACTTATTCCCATGAGACGGAGATATTTGTTTAACTTGTTTGGGATAGTGCATGACAAGTTTAACTCCTTTTCGCGATTTAAAAATCCTATTATTAGACAATGATGACAATGGCACGTTTCCCTAAAGCAAGGGAGGGCCAAATTTTGCCCGCAGGCCACAAACACACGCCTGTTTCGTTCTGTAATCCTGCCCGCTGAGCAATTACAAAGTCTCCTGTGGTAATATTCATGTTTGTTTTATTTATTTAGCTGTTTCTGTTATGTCGGTCTGTTTTTTGTTTTCAGCCGCAGCTGGAGTGAAGGGTGTTTCCCGCAAACAAGCGCACCTGTTTATCAATTAAGTTTGCCATGTATTTCAGGACTGCCAAGCTGCCTTGTCTCTTGTCGGATTATTGACCTTGTTCATTTTAGTGCTTCAAATGACCAAGACCTCTCCATACTCTCTATAGTTGCTCTTGTTATTCATAGAGTCTAGTTTGTAAGTATTTTTTTATTTTTCTTATTGCTCTTGGTCATTGGCTTGGCGTTATTGGCTTCTTGAAGTTCCGTTTGTTTATTCTTGGTGTTCCCTAATGCCGGCCCCTTGCCTTTTGCAAGCGCTTTTGTTTATGCATTGTTTCTCCTGGCTCCTTGTGACCAACGGTTTCTGTTTGTACTTTGTCGGTGCGCTTTTCTGTCAATAAATATTTTTTGTTATCGCACGTTATATGACTCTGCAGTTCTGGAATCCAAAACCATTATTCGGTTCGGCCCTATTTTCTCATTTTTAAGAAATATTTTCAAAAAGAGTTTTGAATTTAGATGGCATCTTAAATATAATGATCCAGCCGCATCACAAAGGCATAAAAGGGAGGCAAAAAATATCTCATACATAACCCCTCCCCTGCCCCCATTGTATTTTTTTTTGGTTTTAATAAATATAAAACATCTTAATTGATTTTTTTCTGATTTTCCAGTATTCACAGAAACAATTTGAAAGTTGCAGTAGGACACGTTGACCTGTGAACATTTTTGATGTACTGAAAAAACAAACATAAGAGGAGGGTTCATTTAAAAATAAATCATTAAAATATATGATTAAATTGTACTCATAAAATTAATAACATTTTACATATACATTTAGCATTTTTTTGATAAACTTATCTTGAAATGGCCTGGCCCGTCTATCTATGCCATGAGTCAAGAACAACATTTTTGGTGATTGTCATCCTCAATTAACTATTAACTAGACTGGTAATTGACTAACAGATGGACAAACAAATGCAAATTTCGACACTCCAGCTTTACAGCTCCTATGATCACTCTGCAGTGGCTATTAATGTGACATGGATGGTCTGCTTCACTGAAAAAAAAGTAAATTTGTTCACTCAATAGCCCGTACTCGATGTCAGGCTTTGAAGAAATCCAACAAGAAAGCGTGATAAATGTAAGCACAATTAGGAATAGCAAGATAGCAATTAAAAATGAATGTTAGGCAGAAGAATACAGAATAAAATATGATGAGGAATAAAACAGAGTAGATTTCCTTTTTAAAAAAGGGGGGGAACAAATGTAGGTCAATTTGATTGAAGTAACTAAAGTAGAGGTGAACACTCCTTCCTCACCTCACAAAAGGCAGATGAAGCAGACCTTGATGAAAGGAACATTTTGCACATGATGCAATATGAGGAAACAGAACAGCAACGGAACATCTTGTATGCTTTTCTCTGATCAACTTGTTCTCACCATGAAAAAAGTAGGATAATTCTGAGCAAGTAAAATCAAGATAAAGCATCTACGAGACCGCAACTCGCACGTCTAGGCAATAAAAGTGAACGAAAGTGTAAGTGAGTTACCATGACTCCGGTGAAGAGACACACCGATTTGCCACAGGGCGTTTTGGGCGCCACGTCGCCGTAGCCCACCGTCAGAAAGGTGATGGCGATGAGCCACAAGGCCGTTTCCATGTGATCTGTCGAGCCTGCAGTCTGTCTACAGTGGAGAGGAATCAACACAGTGAGTGAAACTGCTTCTTAATTTACTTTTAAACCGCAACAGTGCTGAAATCAAAGCCAAAATTAAGTTAACGAATTAACATGGACTTTTATTTTGTGGAAACCATTAATTGCTATTGTTAATAATTCCACATTTGCCCACGATTGTGATATGTCCTCACCGAGTGCTGAAGTTGACCTTATTAATTTAAAACAAATTCAGAATAGAAAAACACAACAACTGTAATGTAATTTCATGAAAATAAAATGCGAGTCAAGTGAGATTTTTCCTTCTGGTAAAATTTTGTAAAAAAAAAAAATACAACAACTGTAATGTAATTTCATGAAAATAACATGCGAGTCAAGTGAGATTTTTCCTTAAGGTAAAATTTTGTAAAAAAAAAAAAGTAATTTTAAAATAAATTGATGCCTTAATATATTATATTTTCAGAAATATGTTGGAATCATCCATTTCTCTGCATGGAGGCAGGTAAGACCCCATGTTGGTAACATTTGCAACACAGTGCTGAAATCAAAGCCAAAATTAAGTTCACGAATTAACATGGACTTTTATTTTGTGGAAACCATATAAATTAATGCCTTAATATATTTTCAGAAATGTGTTGGAATCATCAATTTCTCCGCATGGAGGCAGGTAAGACCCCATGTTGGTAACATTGCAGACAAACACAGGCCGGCGGATCTGCGAGAGTGAGTGCTGCGGGCCGGGTCTGTTTCTGTTTAATATTTTTTATGAAGTAAAACTGAAAAAGAAAACCCCGCTTAAAATTTGCAGGAAGGATTAATTTCATCTACTGTATATTTTTGACCCCAATTCACTTCATTTTCCATTCAAAGATTGTGCAGTGTGTCTGCTTGACAGTATCTTTTCACGAGTTAGCTTGTGTCTTTTCGAATCATTGGTCAGTTTGAACAATTCACATCATATTCCCTCAATCTGAAGCCACAAGATTAAAAAATGTACAGGTATGTGTCATCATACGGACTGGACATTCATGAGCTTAAAACATCTCATGTGTACCTAAGTCTTATAAGGTGTGGCCTGTTAGTCACATGAGCAACTCGAATCGCTCTATGTCTAAATGCAAACTGGTTTTCTTGAATACAATGTCAACAACCGTCGGACATTCCACACTCAACTATATGTCTCGAGCTAATCACAACCAATATTGTAAAGGTCTAACTAGAAAGACAAGTTAAAATGACCATCAGGATTTATGGAAGAGTAAAAGTTTCGACTATGGATGAAATCCAGAGCAAACATAGAAATTGTGTTTGCTTGTGTTTGTCTGCAGTGCAGGGCTTAATTTAACAAGAATAAAAATGACATGACAAATGAATAGTTCAAATGTTATACTGACACTATTGTCAAATATGTTCATTAACGGTGTTACTGTATTTGCAAGCTGAAGTCATAATAATCTTGATTCCATCCATCCATTTTCTAATCCGCTTATCCACAGAAGGGTTGAGGGTGTGCTGGAGCCAATCCCAGATGTCTTCGGGCAGTAGGCGGGGGGACACCCTGAATCGGTTGCCAGCCAATCGCAGGGCACAGAGAGACGAACAACCATTCGAGCTCACAATCACACCGAGGAAAGATATCGAGTGTTCCATGAACCTGCCATGCATGTTTTTGGAATGTGGGAGGGGAGAACATGCAAATGCCACACAGGAAGGCCAGAGCTGCAATTGAACCCTATATCTTTGCACTGTGAGGTGGACGTGCTAACCAGTTGCCTGCCGGGCAATAATCTTGCTGTTAAAGAAAAATCGATGTACTGTATTACATGTCCTGACACATTCCCTCTGAAAAGTTGTCTTGACATTTGTTTGACATCAGATTCTGGCATTTTTTTGGTCATATCTTAAACACAAGCCATGGTACAGAGAGAACTACGATCAGGGTGATCTCATTATTGAATTTCCAAGGGAAAAATGGTCCCTGACAGCGAACACAAACCATGCTAAGGCACCCATCGACCTCCATTATTATTTTGAGGGGGTCCTTGGGGGGTATTTCAATTTGTAATAGGAAGTAACAGAGAATAAATATTCGTCCCTAGGGTCAAATTGTTCCCATTTAAAACTCATTTTAGCTGACCTGGCAATTCTTGGCAACATTCCAACCTTTTATACAAGAAAACAGAAGTTTAACAATGTTTATAATAAAATCTGAAAAACAAAACACTGTGTAAACAAGTGCAATGAGAACCTAACCATTGTTCAAGGTCGAAGAAGGCGAGCATTGCAAACAAATGATTGATGCGTATGGTAATGCTGTAGTCTTACTGCTTAATTTACTTCACTTTTTGGACACAACCAACCGACTAAGGTCGTGAGACTTGCTGAAGTCTTGCATGACAATCTTTAACTAAGTTTTGATGATTATTCATGTTACTTTTTTTTTTTATTGACCTCAGAAGCTCAGAGACTTTGCATTTCATAGGTCCTACAGTTGTATGCGCTTTCGCAAACAGTTTGACTTGAAGTGAAACCACTTCATCATCACTCCACATGCAATAATTAGCATCTATACTGTTGATGTGTTTCGTACCTCTCACAAAGGGTCAGCATCCAGGATGCCGTGAGCCAGAAGAAGAGGATGAACACCAGCAGGGTGCGAGCCGGGTACTTGTTCATCAGCACTTTGAGTACGAAGCGGAAGGTAAAATTGATATTGTTGAGTGAGCCAATGCTCCTGTAGGAGGCGCTCAGCAACACTTTGCTGTGCAACAGGACAGCCCGGTGCACCAGGTACAGGCGCAAGAACATCAGCACCGACAGCAGCAGCTCCAAATTCGCCAGGGCCGTGTTGTGATGGTTGGAGTCACACAGTGGAGGTGAGAAAGACGAGTTGCCGTGGAGGCCCACCTCCCAGTATGTGCCGACGGGATGGATGGCGCAGGCTAATAGCTCGAGAGTGATCAGAAAAACCCTGTGGCTGGTCATGGCGATACGCCAGTCTACCTGGTTGTGATCGATGATGAAGAGCTGAAAGGCATAGGAAATTTTATTACATTCAATCTGAATTAACATTGAAACTAGAATATCCGGAATGTAAAGAACTATCGTCCTGACGTTGCCATACTTACACAAATGCAGAGTCAGGACTGGTAAGAATTAATGCAAAATGTGTCATGCTCATACATGGATGTGATATATATGTGTTAATGTGCAAAGGATAACATTACATTGGAAAAAAAAACCTGATAATCTTTCGGGATAACAGTTTCAAGACCTTTTGGCTTTAGAATAAACACAACTTCAAACATCAACACAGCGATATACATCATATAATAGTTTCCATAAATGATTAATGCAGTTAATGTTCCCTGCTTGCACTAATCTAAACAATCAGAACGTTAATGTGCTGGATGTGATGAGTTTATCATTGCGAACAATAAAAGACAAGAAAAATATTACAGATGGTAAACACTGTGAGTGTGTTCGCTCTTCCTTATCTCTTTTCAGCATGCATGGACCCCTCCTTGTATCGCACACGGCTCCTAACCATATTTAAAAACACTTTAGGTAATAAGACTGCCACAGCAAATGCTCTGCCTCAAGAGTAGGCAGTGCATTTGCCACATGGGGTTCAGTCGGGAATTTAATGCACCTCTTAATACCACTGCTATCACGTGGCAATTATAGACGCTATCAATACTATATAAATGTGCAATACAACGGCACACAACTGTACCACGCACATCATTTGTAGTAGTAGTAGTGAATCAATAAGGTGCCTATCCCAGCTTACTTCGGGCAAAAGGGGGACTACACCCTGAACTGGTCGCCACAAACAACCATCCATATCCACATCGTCACTGAGTGGGGAACCGACTCCATGCTGCCCGCTCAGGCGAACGGACCACTACACCAACAGCGACTTACATTAGATGTATTATTATTTTGTAGTAGTAGTGTTATTAATATCCATCCATTTTCTGATCCACTTATCCTCAGAAGGGTCGCAGGGCGTGCTGGAGCCTATACCAGCTGTCTTCAGAGAGTAGGCGGGGTACACCCTGAACTGGTTGCCAGCCACTCGCAGGGCTCACATAGACTATTATTATAATGATTATGATTGCTTTTTCTATTTTAGCTGGGATTGTTAGAACAACTATGATTGTTTCAAGAAACGGGGTAGTTATTTTGTCCAACGCTTGCTAGAAATTCTTAAGGCCAGGGCTCCGTTTTTGTCGATAGGCACATATGCGCTAGGCATGAAATCTGTTGCATCTTCATTTTCGTGCCAGTGCAAGTTTCGTTTAACATGTTTGGGAAAATGGCAGACTGCGCGACACCATGCTAAGCATTCTGGCGGACTGAAGGTATTTTCTAATACACAGAGAGGAGACATGACGTTAGACAAGCTGAAAGCAGGTCTAAGTTGTGGCGCAAGTGGTGTAACACAATCTTGGTGGATTGATCAAAGCGCAGGCAGACAGATTCTGCACTTTGTTGATATGTGTGGTCGATGTCATTTGATTTCATTCATAAGTATGACAACAGCGTGCATCAAACCCATTGAATCAATGCAGAAATCACTTCATTTTAATGCATTATTATTGTCATCATCTTAAATGTTATAAAAAAGCACCCACTGACCACTGTTCAACTGTGTGTGTGTGTGTGTGTGTGTGTGTGTGTGTGTGTGTGTGTGTGTGTGTGTGTGTGTGTTGTGTGTGTGTGTGCGTGTGTGTGTGTGCGTGTGTGTGTGTGTCATGGGGGTGGGAGGGTAACACACAGACGCACGATCAGGGCTAGAAAGAAATCTAAGGGTACCCGCTTTACAGCGGTCAACTTTACATCATCGACAAGTGAAGATCTTGAAATCTGATTTGACAAAAAAATAAAATAAAAAAAAATCCAATCAATTCAAACATTCACATCTACAACTGGAAGCAATGCGCCATCATAAATGTTTAACATGTAGAACAAAGACTGTCAGCTGTCAGGACGAAACAAATGCAGTTTAATGAAACAAATATTCAAATTAAGGGTGCAAATGCAGGTCATTGCTTCTGATAGTGTTAAGGCCAATAAAGAAGGGTTTACCGGTTTGCGTGTGGCCCACCACATAAGAACTTTCCGCACTTTTTTTCATGCACATGCATGCTGTAATTATGAGAGAGTGTTTCTTGTGTTTAATCTCAGCCCAATCCCTTCACGTACAAAGTATACTGAGTTCACACACAACGGCCATGTGGATTGGAAACATGGTGCAACTCCAAATAATGTGTATGCTCATGTGGACAAAGGTTTTGAGGAGGGATTTCTATTCTAAAGTACATATCAATTTACCAAAAAGAGTGTGTGTAATTGGTGTTGAGACTACCATCAGCGAAGTGAGACCAGCGACAATTGCCCTCCAAGTCAAAGTAAATTGTTTTGGACATCTATTGGCATGTTGCACAAAAAATGGCAGGCCACACCCTGATGAGGAGCTGTTCTCGCACGCAAATCAAAACAGTACCGTGAGGCAACCCAAATTATTGGAAACAAAGGAACTCACTCTGATGTCCTTGTAATGGAACGCGATGATGAAGATGAGGAGACAGCCAGTGGACAGGGTGATGGAACAGTTGATGATTAAGGCAATATCGGTGCCCTGGACAAAGGAAAAACAACATTGTGACTAAGTAAGAAAAAAATTTGATTTTGGTCAATAGGAAGCAATTAAATATTTCAGTCTGAATTGATGATTGAGGTTTTTTTTTTAATGAGGTCAAGATGGTGTTACATCTTACATCTTTCAATATACATGAAGAAAGCTGTTGTGGAATAAAGCTAGATCACTTTGAAGAGCCTTGATCCCTCGGCGGGGATCAGAAAACACAAAAGCAGGTCAAACCGAACCACTGCAGTTCTTTAGAAAGCGCGCACTGACAGCGAGGCCCTTCAGAGAGCTCAACGCCAAAGATAGAAATAACATGACAATAAATCGATTAACTGACCACCAAGCGATTATCAAATTCATTGATAAATATTTTCTATCATCACTCAATCGTTTAGACATGAATTTCAGTGTGTGTGTGTGTGTGTGTGTGTGCGTGCGTGCGTGCGTGCGTGCGTGTGTGTGTGTGTATTCATATATGTACGTATATTTACTGCTGCAGTGTACTGTATGTGCCCTGCGACTGGCGGGTGTCCAGTCCCGGTCGTACCCGAAACTCATCTGGGATAAACTCCATCTCACCTGCCACCCTAAACAAGCGCAATTGTGAATGAATGGATAATTTACAGATGCTTCTCTTGTCTATTCAGCCCCGGTCCATGCAGGACTCCACTGCACCTTCTTCTCACAAGGTATTTTGTTTCAAAGTCTGAAAGCATCCATTACAAGGTCAGTGGAAGTTTTGACGCCACTCAAATGTGATTTACATTTCAAAAGTTAATGACAAACATTCAGCATCGGGGAAAATTGAGCGTGTAGGTAGTACGATGTGACACCCCCGTTGGCATTCCCCATGTTTTTCCCTCCCGTTTCTGCAATAGCGTCCACACTGTGTCTGTATTCCGTCAGGGTTCTAATTAGTGGACTCCACAAAAAGGCTGAACATTTCACCACATTCCATAACAGAGAGTTCAACGGCATGTTTCCTGCCAGCTTTCTAAAAGTGTTTTTGTAATGTTTTCCTGTTGGAAATAGTCATTTCGAGCCCGATGAGTTTACTTTTGGGTTAACCTTCGCACAGATTGTTTCTCACAGTCTTGGACGAGACATCATCGGCAGGTCGGTGAAGGGAAAACATAATGAAAATTCAATGCAAAGGTTTCGGTCTGGTTTGTTGGTAATGTAATAAATAATTGGAAGCCAAGGGAAGTCACATGCACCTGATTTGGGGATTGTATGGTTTATTTAAGAGTTTCACAGGAAATAATTTAAGATTCAATCTAATCATTTTTGTATGTACACTTTAGGCAACTTTGTCTAAAATTTTCTCATTCACATCATTTTGTGGATCAGGGTAAACTATCTTATTAATACAATGACTATGGTGCTTATCGTCATGAGTGTTTTGGGTGGCAGGGTACACCCTGGGCTGGTTGCCAGCCAATCACAGGACGCAAAAAGACAATTAACAAGACAATTCATTTTCACTCCCATTCACACTTTTGGACATGTTAAAGTGTTCGTTGAACCTCACAGCCATTGTTTTTGGAATGTGAAAGGAAGCCAGTGATGTGATTCAAAGCTGGAAGCTCAGAATTCAGAAGCAGACTTTCTAAAAACTGTTGCTGTCCCCTTGTAAAAATAAAGTTGAAAAGTCAAAATTAATTGAATAATCATATAATCACCGAAAAGTGCAAGAATAAAACCTAGCAAGCTGAAAACCTTTCATCTTGGTCTGCCTTTGGAGGGCAAGGGCAAGTGCACACTGCTGCCTCCAACATAGCCGTACTGACCATCTCATGTACTGGCTTTCAAACTGCCCATGCAAACGCTGACATTATTCACTAAATGACGCGGAAAGTTCTGAGGTTAATCTAGCTGCAGGGGAAGAGGCCAAATGTGGAAAAATCCTCCCGAAATAGCCTCTTTTTCGTGCACAACCGTCAAGGTCGGGCTTAAAATATAACTTTTGTACGTTGCCATTAACTTTGATGGGCCCTCCGCTTTCACTACCAGGCAGCATTAATGCACTGGAGTGGTTTTCAAAACAAACGCCAATTAGTCTGCAATCAATGCTGGATTACTTGGCCAGCACAGAGTCTGCATGGCTAATAGCTTTATACAATGAGGGGTTGTGCATTCAAGACAATGAGGAGTGGAATACAGATATGAAGGAACAAAGCGGCCCTTAAAAAAAAAAAAAACATTATAGTGCATGTTAGTAAGCCCTAATTGAACTGCATGAAGACATCAGCATTTTTCCACCTTTCTTCCTCAGTTACCGTTCAGCATAAAGATCCCCCCAACAGGGACAAAGTTTCAGAGAATATTTCTCCGTTTTAAGTTAAACACCTGACACTGACTTCTCCCGCCCTGTTGTGTGGAAAGCAATTGCCACTTGTTTCATTTCACTTCCATGTCTTATTTATCACTGACTCCACAGCAAGGTGGTCTAATGGTTTGCATGCATGGGAACCTTTCTGTGCAAGCTTGCCTTTGTTATCTACTGCGATCTGCATATTGATGTCAGGAGTTTGTGTGTCTGGAATTGGAGTCACGAATCAGCCAGGGGTTCAAAGCCCCTGTGCAGGTTTGGCACGACTTGGGCTGTCTGCTCGCTAATGAAAGTTGTTATGGCGACAGACAAGGAAGCGGGTGTTTTTATGGACAGGGTAGTTATAATGCAGAAAAAAAGAGCAATATGGTTCAACATTAGACTTTAGACATATCTGATTGGATTGGCCGATATCTTGTATTGAATGCAAAATCGATAAATGGTTATCATGTTATAATTTGCTGACGGATCAATGACGTCATTGCTCGGATACCGCCCATTTTCAGTGTATTGAATGTTTATCAGAGTTTTGGTCTTTTTAATCGACTACTTAAAATTTTAAGCTTGAGCGGATGTTTATCAGTGCAGTATATATACTATAGCCTATAGTGACAAGTAAATGTTGCACTCACCAATAGCAAGAATTGATGAAGTACAAATACATTTTACTGTCCTTAGGTAGATTTTTCAGGTATATTTACTTTACAACTTTTAACTTTTATGTCCTACATTTGAAAATAGATATACCTCCTACTCCTTACTTTGTCAAAATTGGCCAGTTCCATTTCTTTGTAAGAAGGCACGTAGGAATGTCAACCGTGAACAACGACAAGAACTGATTTGGAGAAGCAAGATATTCCCCACTGATGGCCGTGTTCCGAGTTTGGCATTGATCCTGGCAACTTCAAACAAGTGCAAGTGAAGAAAAGACAGATATTATTTTGTTTGCAGTTTTGTTTTATTTGTCTTATTTTTACAACAGTCTGTACTTTTACTTAAGTAGATCAGTTGAACCAGTATTTAAACTTTTACAGGTGTCTGTCCAAGTCAGTCTAGAAAAGTATGGTACAGTTCAGCGAGTCCTTTTACCACCTCTGCCAGTAAATTACATTGACTATTTTATTGGATTATCAGTTTTACGCCCTTTTGTGTTGAAATCCATACTTTCATGCAATCTTTGTTGTTTTTCTTTGCTGCTTTGTCCATAATCTAGTTGTTGTAATGAAGGAGAACGTGTTCAGTAAACGCATAGTGGTTTTAATAGAAAAAGAAGAGTGTTAGTTAGGCGCACGTACCGGTTTGTAGAACAATGGGCACATCTCAGTATGGAGGATCATCAGCAGTATTCCGAGCAGAGCTGAGCCCAAAGAGAGCGCGCACAGCCGCTTCTTGTCCTCCAGCAAGAACTTTCTGTCTCGCAGCCTGTACAGGTCGTCTCCCTCCATTTGAGTGCCCCTCTTGCCGGGAAGAGACACGGGCACGGAAACCTCCGCCGAGTCCCCTCCGTTTCTGTGCACCAAGCCGTCGTAGTTCCCACAATCCACCTTGGAGATGGCGCGCTTGGTCATCTCCATCTCCAGAGCGCACACGAGGCGGCCCTTGCGCCTCTCGTCGCTCCCCGGTGGTCGAGATCTTTGACTCGCGTGTCCGGTCCCCTCCTGGCCACCGGACATAGTGTCAGGTGTACGCGTCCCTCGTCGCGTTTCACGTTCATGGAAGCCGCTAATTGTGGAAGTACACTTAACTCCCTTTGGAAAAAGAGAGGCGCGGCACTGTGGTCCGATTTGCACACACCGCTGTATGCCAGGCAGTCCGTACGTATTTCTTATCTTATCTTATTTGCATGTGTGCGCGCAGCATATGCTGCGCCCTGCACGGTTCACGCGGCGTGTTTGCAAACAAACCGAGTGGGTTTCCTGCCAAACTCCAAGGAATATGCTGTTCCCATAAAAAAATACGTGTTGGCCTACAGCAAGTCATAGTGAAGTAAAAAAGGGAAACACTTGTTAGCCTCAATGCAGGGCACAAAGCCTGATCTCCCCTTGACGAATTATCTTGAGTATAATAAATACAAACTAAAAATACCCCGATCCACTGCCGTCTGTAATTATTGGACGCCTGGTTAGAATGTGATAAAAGCCTCCAATAAAAAATCAAAATAAATGTGTTTTTTATTGTAGAAGCATGCTCTCATACTGAAAACTGTAAAAATGCTTCCCCAGACACAGAATTAAACTCCTCCCATGGCTATCTCAGTCCCCAGACCTCAACCCCATGCATTGAACACTTGTGAATGGGGCTATAGAGGAGAGTGCAGGTCACTGGATGATTTAGAGAAACTGCAAAAAGGAACGGACGAAAATCCCGATTTCTGTATTCTCCCAATTGTGAAACATTGAAGGAGAATAATGATGTTTTGTTGGTAAAAGAGACTAACATGCAGTATGCTAAAAATGGTGTCGAGAGCAAAATGTAATCACAGATGGCTTTATGTCCTTAAATGTATTTTTGACAAACTTTTCAAAATGAATTTACTTTTCTCCCGAGCACAGAATTTTTAAAATATATTTGACCTATAAAAGCTTGTACAATATGTAACTTACAACGCGTTGTAATTCATAGTTTCAGAAAAAAAGTCCGCCTGTTACTGATCCATAACTCTTCATTCATGAATATTACTAAATCTAAATTATTTTAATTCTGATGCAACTGAACAGTGGTACCTGAAATAAGGTGGCCAAAAAGGTGTAATTGCTTCTCTTTCCTCAAGACTACGTCAAAAAATAAAATGAAGACAGGCTACTCGGGCTGTATTGGCCGTTAATTGCTCTTGGGTGGCTCCTAGTGGCCACTGGGCCCTATGCAGGTGTTTCATTTTCATATGTCTCGTTTTGTTTTTTGTTTTTTTTTTGTCAGACTGCCTATGTTTTTACCCAGTTATGTTTTTTTTTTAAATCTCAGGTGTCAAGCGTTGTGTTTAAGTACTAGTACTGTAAGTAGGATACTGAATCTCACTCAATTGGGCCTGCTAAATGTAACAAATTTAAACCTGTATACTATGCATTTCAAGGACAAAGGTGGTGGCTTGTTATATTTTGCTTGAAAAAAACGGCACCAGTATTGTACAAAAATAAATTGTAGTGCATAAATAACAATCAAGTGCAAATAAACTCACTTTTAATAACTAAAAAATGATGTAACCACTGCACAAATGGATGAAATCAAAGAGCGAGGGCTTTGTGACATGACCTACGTAAACAAGTAGCTACCTTGTTGCTCTCTGAGAATACTTAGAATGCGGGGTTCCCAGTTTCCATTCTCTATTGTGCTTGTCCTCATAAAGTTCATGAGTGAGCTGGAGCCTCAGGTTGTTGTTTTGGCGTACAATTAATTACTTGACATATCTTTAACTGAGGGTGGGGTGGCACGGCTGGTTAGCACATGAGCCTCACAGTGCAGAGGTGCAGGGTTCAATTGCGGCTGCGGCCTTCCTTTGTGGAGTTTACATGTTCTCCCAGTGCCTACGTGAGTTTTTTCCAGGTACTATGGTTTCCTCCTGCATTCCAAAATCATGCATGACCAGTTGATGGAACACTCTAAATTGTCCCTCGGTGTGATTATGACTGCGGATGGTTGTTTGTGTATGTGTGCACTGCGATTGGCTGGCAACCAGTTCAGGGTGTACCCCACCTACTGCCCGCAGACAGCTGGGATAGGCTCAAGCACGCCCTCAACCCTTCGGTGGATAAGCGGATTAGAAAATGTATGGATGATATCCATCCATACTTTAACATATTTAACATTTGATATTCGCTGGAAAGAAGAATTCATTGATAAACTGCTCAGGCGGGGTAAACACTGGGATTGTTAAGAGCGTAAGCATACAACCGATTTTCAAATGTGAGGGACCCACACGTCAAAGAAAAAATGTTCAATTGTGCACATGCACTGCTCTTATAGTGTGTGGCCTACTCGACATGACTGGCGCCGGCGCACAGCACATTACATAAAAGAAACCTCTGACATTTATGGGCCTGCCCTCCCTAAATCAACTGTCTGGCATAGTATCAAGATTGACCTGTAAGTGGCAGAATAGGGTCACAGCGCATCCTGAAAATACAGAAGACAAGGAACCAAGTCAGCCAGAGGTGTCCCAACTAATTTTTGTTGCTGACCGCATCATTTTTCTGGTGTCCTTCTGAGGGGCCGTTATGGCTGTGAAACCAAATGTCTCATCACCTCAGATTACATATACATAACAAATCGATGAATAACTACCAGTAGTTTAAAAATCAGAGGCCAGTAAAAACTTCAGGTAAATTGGTAAGAAAAATGCTTGCAATATTTCAATGTTTCAAAAAGTGCAGGAAACTAGCAATTTGATATTTTAGGAAGAAACATTAAGTTGATGCGCATAATTCTTTCACATGCCACATAGAATGTGGCGGGTCGGAACCTGTGAGGTAGGCTAACTGTCAGCTAGTATACATTGGGCTTGCTGGCTCTTGTCATGACTCTGTTCAAACTGTTCGGGCTCCCCCCTCCCCCAAACACAAACACACACACACATTAAAAGAAACACACAGTAACTCTTATTAGTAAAAATATACAATTTACAATATCAGTGAGTTTCAAGTCGAGTGATCTCCAACAGTGACCAAATAAAATTACACAAATGACATTAAAAAGTGAAAATCAGTCTTTGTTATATGCAGTACTGGAATTATTTAAAGGCATTTGAGTGAAAATAATTGTCTTCTCCCTCTACAGACATGCGTAGCTACAAGACTATAAAAGACTAAAACCCTGAATCATCATATTTTACAAAAAATGAACACTTATGTGTGCACAGTGGACCACTACATCGCAGCATCTGCGAAAGAACATGGAAAAATACCACCTGAAAAAAGGCAATTATTTGGGATAAAGTGTAGAGAATCCCTGAGCTTATACAAGCACTCAAGTGACCGTGCAGATTTCATAGGACCCATGGAAAAAAGCAGTAGTAATAATCAAATTCAGCAATACATCTGCCGAGAATAAGTAACAGAGTATAGATTAAAACTTTAGACACTACAAGAAACAATATGTTCAAGGAATAACTTTAAAAAAATCTGACAAGTTTAAAAGGTGACAGTTGTGGAAAAGTTCATCTTCTGGCTCGTGTTTGGCTAAACCGGCTCAGCTGAGGGCCGCAGTCCGGCCATCTCATCGTTCACAGGTTCCCATGACTGTGGAGCGGCCCGAGGAACGATGAAGTGTGGAAGAGGCTGCAGTAAGGGAGGAGGCTGCGATAAGTAGTGCACAAACACCTGATGGGGTGGCGGCGGTGGAGGTGGAGGCGCAACCACTGTGGTGAGGAACACCGGGGCGCCATTCATGCAATGGGACCAGACTGGCACAGGTTGGCAGAAATATTGGACGCTCTTTGGAACCTGAAGATTGGAAAGAGACCAAAGACATGATTACAATAGTAATTTCCTGTCTTATCTGCCCACTAAAGGGCAAAAATGGTATTCACGGCCCAAATTGCAAACGTATCCCGTATTTGCTATAAATACCGCATGTAGTGCGCAATCTCAGCTTGTCACTCGGACTTAAAGCTAACAACTTTACAGTTGAGCTAAATATTTTTCTGCATTTCTCCACAATGCCCTGTAATTAACTTAGTCTAGCTAAAATTTAGCATGTGGTTGGGGCCAACTTTCAGCAGCAGAACAATACACACCAGGTTCAATAAGAACCAGGAACAAAATGTATGACCTCGAAACTTACAGCGCATGTCTTTAAAATTACTGTGTACGCATTTTACCACAGGGCATATGTTCCTAACCCACCTACAATAGGTGCAGATCCACAATATGAAGAGCCCATCAAAGACCTACACAGGTGGATTAGGGCTGTACGATTCTGGATAAACTGATAAACCCTTTATTTGGATTAGTATTGTAATAATCATTCATCACATTTGTTTGTCATGTTAAGAAAATACCATCTAAGATACAGTGTGTGACACTCTGAGCCAATGATGTTCAACACGTGTGAGAAAAGCACAACGGACCAAGGACAATAATGTTTGTCAACCGAAAAAAGAGACGAGGAGGAGAGATTTTTAACTCTAATTTCGATCTAAAATACTGCTATAAAAAAATGAGAAAAACATAGCCTACCAAGTTTCTGCAGTATTTGACTCTATTTGATCCGCCTCCATGCCATTTCCGAATTCTGGGCACCATTGTTATCTTGGCAGTGTCATCTTTCTGTGCCTGCTTTTTCACCGGTGCCTTTTTCTCTTGCGCGCTTTCTGTCTCTCCGTCCTTTGCCTCTTCCTCTGTGTCGCTGGATACAGCCGAACCGCAATCAGAAGATGTAGCAGAGTGATAGTCGGACGTGTCGTGGTTTGTCAAGACCACGGGAGAATCCTCCTCCTCTTTGTTCATGCTCTCCTCCTCCTCTTTGTCATCGTCTGTGAAACTGGCTATTGAGAATGGATAGCTATTCTCTCTGGATCTGTGGGGGAGGGATGGGGGGCGAGTGGTTTGTCGTTTTTCATTTTGAAGCGCTTCATGATGCTCAAACTCCGAGACAGTGACTCACCTCCCGCACACCTCCAGCGGGTCGATCCACACGGTAACTTCTGGGGGAAGACAAAGATCACTGGGTGTGAGCTCGCTCTCCTCACAGGCCTTCAGGAGCACCTCGTCATTGGGTATTCCGTTATTTATCCGGATGCATCTGGACAAAAAGCAAAAGTGACGTTTTAGATCTCCTGATTGACACATTGTTAGTATCAAGAGTAAAGCTCCAGTTCATTTCTTGCGTCTATGTAGCATTTTTTTAATGACGCTCCCCAAGTGTAATACAGTACACCTATTGTTCTGTTCCCACATATGCCTGTGAGTATTGTCGTATGCTCTTTTTGTGTCGCTGCCCTACATGTGGTAAAGTTGAAGGTTTATAATCACGGCTAGACGGTTTATAGCACTCGGCACTGTATGGTAGCATGACGCTAGCAGATATTGTTCGAAGAGATTCAGTGGTTTTAGTTGAACATTTTGTTTGTGTTTATTCAATTGTTTCCCTTTTGCGTCTTGTGCCAGTTTTAAAATTA